AAAGGATTCTTGAATGGTGTGGGAGCAGAATTTGGCTCCTAAATTTTAACTCTATGATTCTTTTTTTCCTTTAGTAGGAGTTCTGTGGTTTGTAGAACCCCAGTGGTAGTAATAGCCAACATTTATTGAACCCTAATGTGCTAGCCAATATTCTAGGTAAAGTATGTTGATCATCTTACTTAAGCCTCACAATAATCCTACAAGGTAGATACTATCTTTTTCATTTTACCAATGAGGAAACTGAGGCTGAGAATTTCAGTCAATTGTCCAAGTTTACATAATAGCTAGCAAGTCGCAGAGGTGGAATTTTTTTTTTTTTTTTTTTAAAGATTTTATTTATTCATTTTTTTCCCCCCAAAGCCCCAGTAGATAGTTGTACGTCATAGGTCCGCATCCTTCTAGTTGCTGTACGTGGGACTCGGCCCCAGGTTGGACGGAGAAGTGGTGCCTCGGGGCGCGCCCGGGATCCGACCCCGGGCCGCCAGCATCAGAGCGCGCGCACTTAACCGCTAAGCCACGCGCAGAGGTGGAATTTGAATCCAGAGTATTTGACTCTAGGGCCCATGTTGTTATCCTCTACCTTATGCTACTCTCTGACACATTGACATATTTGTTTAATTCGTTAAAATGTGATTTATTTCAGGACTATAATCATGTGTCTTAAGTGTTAAGTGGGATATTTACATTGCCTGTCTCTAAAAGGCACCATTAAAAAAACTTGTATTTTTCTAATTATGAATATATATATATACTCATACAGAATTTGAAAAATCAGAATTATTTATAATCCTACTACCCTTAGGTAACCACTATTATCAGTTTGATGTTTAGTTGTTTTATGCAATTAAAAAAATAAATAAGAATGGCAGATCCTTTAAGTCACGGGAGATGGTGAGGCATTGAAAGGTTTGGATCCCAGAGCAAGCCTTTAGCGAGGTGTCTTAGTCTGTTCAGGCTGCTATAATAGAATAATACAGACTGAGTGGCTTATAAACAACAGAAATTTATTTCTCACAGTTCTGGAAGCTGGAAGTCCGAGATCAGGGTGGCAGCATGGTTGGGTCATGATGAAGGCTTTTCTCCAGGTTGCAGACTGCTGACTTCTCTTTGTATCCTCACATGGCAGAGATGAGAGAGAAGAAGCAGGCTCTCTCTGACTTTTATGTGGGCTCTAATCCCATTCATGAAGTCTCCACCCTCATGACATCATCTAATCCTAATTACCCTCCAAAAGCCCCATCTCCTAATACCATCACATTAGGGGATAGGGTTTCAACATATGAATTTTGGAGGGACACAGACTTTCAGTCTATAACACAAAATTTGATTTTTTCCCCTCCTAGCCCAGTATTGAACCATACTGCTTCTTTATAGCATCAAGGCTCAATAAGAGAAAAAAATTTTTTCATTTGAATAGATTTTTGTAATTTGATAATTGAATTAGAGATGTCATAAAATGTTAACGTATAATACCTTGAATTGAGTTTTATTCATTCAATAAATATTTATTGTTATCAGCTCTGTGCTAGTTGCTGGGGATGTATATGTTGGTAAAGAAGCCAGTTAAGATCCCTGTTTTCATGGGGTTTACATTCTAGTGGGAAAGACAGACAATGAATGAACTAACAGTCATTCATTCATCAGTCAGGCCAACAGGAGAAAAATCAGAAATATCTCTGAATTTTGACAAAAGCATACACCTGTGTAACACAAACCCCCATCAAGACATGGAATTTTACCACAGTTCCAGAAAGTTCTCTCATGCCTGAAATGCTGTTCCCTAGAATTTGGCATGACTGGCTCCTTTTTGTTGTTCAGCTCTCAGCTTAAATGTCTGTACCTTGTACCCCTCTCCCCCAGAGGCAACTACTATTCAGATTTTTTTCTACTGTAGATTAGTTTTAGCTGTTTTAGAACTTTATATAAAGAGAACCATACATATCTCTTTTATATCTGGCTTCTTTCACTCGGTCTAATGTTATTTGAGATTCATCCGTGTGGCATGTATCAGTAGTTCATTCTTTTTTATTGTTGAGTAGTATTCCATTGTATGGATGTACCACCTTGGCTGTTTCCAGTTTTGGGCTGTTATGAATAAAGCTGTTATGAGCATTCTTATGCAAGTCTTTTTGTGGACGGATTTAACTTATCAGCTTGGGGCTCAGAGAACTGTACCAAATCTGACCTCCTTCATCTTCCAAATCTTCATTATGTGGATGTTGAGTTTCTCAATCCATCCTCCATGTCTCTGCTTTTGTGTTTTCTACCTCTTTATCTCTGTGCTACATGCTAAGTGACTTCCTCACATTTGTCTTCAGTTCAGTAATTCTCTCTCTCTGTATGTCCAATCTAACCTGTCTATTGAATATTGAGTTTTAAAAAAATTTTAACAAATATTTTTCATATCTAGAATTTCTACTTTTTGTTGCCTCCTTTTCATGTTTTAGATTTTATTTTCCTTAATTTCCCCAAACGTTCTTACTTTAAAGGCCCTTTCCGATCTTAGATATGGATTTTTTGTTTGATGGCTCTGTGAATTATCTTTATTGACTTTAGGGTTTTTTCATTTTTGTTTTGATTTGTTTGTGAGCGTTCTTCTAGGGACTGATCTTCTGTGGAAGTCCTGCATGTTTCCTGCGTGGTAGAAACATATATGTTATGTTATATATATAACAGTTTTATGATTGACTCTGCCTGGTTCCAACAGAATTCACCAATTCTAACCATTTTAGTTTTAGTTTTTTGGCTTGGTGTTTCCTTTCATGAGGATAATGAGAACTTGGGCCCTGTACCCGTCCAGAGTGCAGGCTTGAGGGTCTACCCTCTCATGAGGGACTTTGTTCATGCTCTTGGACAGGTGGCCTGCCTGGGCCACGGTGGGTGAACACTTTCAGGTTCCTATTCACAGACAGTCTGACACTCTCCTAGGTCCCAGCTACACCCTGGGCCTGTGGTCTCTACTTCTGTCCCTGGGCTGGTGATGGACCCCAGCACTGGGGCTGGTATGAGTTCTGGTCTCTGCCCAGCTTTATCTCCTACCCGCTGTGGGTTCCCCTCTTCCATTTCTGATGATTTCCCTTTCTTCTTTTTGAGTTTAATTCTGTATTAAACTTTTATCTTTTCAGTGTCTTCTCCAGCATTTGTATTGTTTAGAATGGGAAAGGGAAAGGTTTTTATATCTCCTCAGATTGTTTTATTTATTTATTTATTTTTACGTGCCTCCCTCCTTTCTCAGATTATTTTAACTAAAAATCTCTCTATGCAAGTTCTTTAATCTCGTTAAGCCTCTGTTTCTTTTTCAATAAAAATGCTGGAGAAAGTACATACAAGTACTTAGCACAGTTTCTGCAGTAAAGCACATAGTTTTAAAACAGTGTAGCCATTTTACTGTTTTCATTAGTAGAGTAATAATGGTTGTGATTCCATTTTTCCTCTCCAATGCCGAATATCTCTGTAGGCATGACTATAGCCCAAGATTGTTGTAAGTATTAAATTATTTTTAAAAATTTGTTGTTGAAGCTTTTAAAAAGTGAGAAAAATAATACACATTCAGTGGGAAACCCTCAGCCCTCAAGAAGTGTAGGCGGGGTCTGGCAGATCACTGTGTCTTTGGGCAACATAGATTTTAGACCAGAGCCCACAGATGGGTAGCCCAGAGCCCAGAGTGTTTTTGTTTGGCTGGCACAGTTATAAAAACTGTAAATGTGTTGCTGACGCTTAAAAATGGTGAAATGTTCATAAACTCCAGCTATCTGACTTCTCTTGAATGCTCAAGTTCTCTGACAGCACTGGGCCCTCTCCCTGAACAGCATCAGCCAGCTCATGCTGAGGGGTTGCTGCCCCATGTGTCCTCTGCATCAGGAGGCCCAGGGCCACCTCCCATTGGTTGTTACTCTTTTACCGTGGGTTTTGAAATAGTACTATATACCTATTTCTCTGTCAAAAATAGGAAAACAAAAGATAGATGGAGAAAACCATGTTTTAAGAAAAATGGTAAAGAGACTATTTTGTGGTAAAAATGAAGACAGTTCCTACATATTTAATAGGGCGACTGTGTCAGTTTTCTTGCACTTGGCTTGCTTTAGTTGTTTATGTTATCCTGTCTTGTGGACATTTCAATTTGCAAGCTCCTCCTGAGCATCTTGAATCTCTCTCTAAGTTCTGTCCTTTTCTTTTCTAGTTCTGCCTTCCCTTTTGTACCACCCTAGTTCACCCTCCATAACTGAGTCTGTTTCTGTGGAGAACTGCAGAGACTTCCGGAGCAACAGAAAATCCACATTTACTCAAGCCTGTTTGCTTTGTCCCCCACTGGCCACACTGTCCATTAAAGTAAAAAAAATCTCCCTGCCACCTTGCTGATGATTACATTTTTTAATTGCAAAGCAGAAGTTTCTATTAAGCTGTTAGAGGTTGAAGGTTTAAAGTGCAAACACCTTGAAGAAGATCTGTTAACTGAAATTTACTCACTAATACATCAGCAAGTGGAAGTGAGAGTCCAGCTTATTCTGTTTTTATTGATATGATTTTATATGATTAAGAGAGTCCTGGGGGGCCAGCCCTGTGGCCTAGTGGTTATGTTTGGCGTGCTCCACTTTGGCGGCCCAGGCTTGGTTCCCAAGCGTTGACCTACACCACTGTCAGCGGCCGTGCTGTGGCAGTGACCCACATACAAAATAGAGGAAGAATTGGCACAGAGGTTAGCTCAGGGTGAATCTTCCCCAGCCAAAAAAACCCCCAAAAAACCTACTTAAAAAAAAAAGAGAGCTCTGGGCAACTGGTAGAGAGCAAGGGGGTTTTCTTGGGTGAGACTAGAGTCAAGAGATGGAGTGTAGAATATAGAGAAGTAAGAAAACTAAAATATCACTGTTTCATGTGGAAATGTGTTGCAGTTTATTTAGTTTGTGAGTACTTGGATTCTAAGTGGAATACTTTTTAGGGGAAAACTTGTTTCTGTGTAAATTTAAATTCTGTGTAAACATATTGTTGCATTTGTTTTGCAGGTTGTGGGATTAGTGATATGCTTTCCTAAACAGCGGAAAAGTTGAAGATGTCTAGACACTTAGTAGCTTTGACAGTGACCACCCTTCTTGGTGTGGCTGTGGGGGGGTTTGTCCTGTGGAAAGGCATCCAGCGCCGGAGGAGTAAAACAAGCTGTGTGACCCGGCGGCGGCAGCAGCAGCAGCAAGCGCCAGGCGGGAGAGAGCTGCCCCCTCCGGAAGAGCCCCCTCCGGAAGAGGACCGGCTGTGCTCCAGTGCCCCCAGGGCCTCATGGGAGGAGAGGATCCTCCAGGCAAAGGTAGTGACTGTGTCTCAGGAGGCAGAGTGGGATCAGATCGAGCCCTTGCTTAGGAGTGAGTTAGAAGATTTTCCAGTACTTGGAATCGACTGTGAGTGGGTAAGTTAAAAAGCGAAAATAAAAACAAATCTTTTCTGCTTTTCCAAATAGGGACCTTGAATAGTCCAGTAGAGGATAAGATTAAAGGAGAATTAGCTTGTTCTCAACTTGTTCGTAAGTAGAGTTTAGCAGAAGGAGAAGCTGCTTCTCTTCTCAGGACAGGGGAGTACTTACAATCATGGATTCTGGAGTCAGATCTGTATGAATTCCGTTTTACCACTCATCATTCTGTAAACCTGGACAAGCTACTTAACCTCCCTGAGTCTCACTGTACTTGTTTGTATTAGGGATGCAATGGTATCTACCCCTCAGGGCTTTTCTAAGCATTCAAATAGATAACCCTATAAAGACTTCAGCACAGTTTTAACATAGTAAGTGCTCATTAAATATTAGCTACTATTAATATTTTTAATAGTATTTTCATAAGGATGCTATGCAGAAGATAGTTAAGGAAGTCTGTTTAAAATGAGAGTTATTACACAAATTAGGATTTAAAAGATAATAGTTAAAATTTGAAACATTGTTTACTCCAAGCCAGGTACTATGCTGTTTTGTTTGCATCATCTCATTTAATTTTCACAATAATCTTATGTAGGGAGATACTGTTATTATCTTCACTTTACAGATAGGAAACAGAGGCATAAGAAAGTTTAGTTCCTTGTCCAAGGCCACAAAGCTAGTAACCAGTATTTGAGCCCAGGGCTTTCTAACCATCTGATTGATTTTTCTAGTAGCTGTTACTCTGGGGAGTTGTTTCATAGTTGTGATGAGGACAATGTGGTACGCCTGCTCTTCTGTCATTCTGATTCACAGAGTGAACTTTTTTTTTTTTTTTAAAGATTTTATTTATTTTATTTTTCCCCCCAAAGCCCCAGTGGATAGTTGTGTGTCGTAGCTGCACATCCTTCTAGTTGCTGTATGTGGGACTCGGCCTCAGGATGAACGGAGAAGTGGTGCCTCGATGCGCACCCGGGATCCGAACCCGGGCCACCAGCATCGCAGCGCGTGCACTTAACCACCAAGCCACAGGGCCGGCCCAACACAGAGTGAACTTTAATCTCCTTGAAACAGAAGATACTACAAAAATATAAACAAGTCATAGTTATCATCTCTTATTAATTCAGCATAATACCTTGCCAACATTCTCTGACATAGGTCTTCTGGATATCTAGAGTACAGCCAAGAGCCAGGAAATGTAATCAAAAGAGGCCCTAAGCAGAATAGCTGCCACAAAACCAGATCACAGGTTGGTGGGAGGGACTACCAGATGCCAATTCAATGAGGACCAAGAAAAGAACACCTGACAGTGTGGGTAGTCACCCAGTTTAGTAGTCACCCAGGCCTCTCACCCTAGCTGCTGAGGGTATTTCTGTATATCAGCAGTAGTAGTAGTTGTTTATACCAATGACCTTGGGCCATCAAGAAAGGATTGGGCACTTTTAGTCAATTCTATGTAAGAAATTATATCATTGTAGAAAAGTTTACATGTTCCTATATCGTTTTAAAAAATTTACACCAACAACAATAGAAGAAAACATTAGTAAACAGTGAGCTTTAATAGCTTAGGAAAATTCACCTTTGCCAAATACCATGATTATTCGAACTAAATGAATTATAACTGTAGCAACAACAGGGTAGTGTGAAGTGAATAGTTAGTAACAGCAATTGACTTAATAATACGACGTTTAATCACTATGCAGAGGCATGGATAAGTTAAAGTGGCAAATAATCCAGAACCCACTTCATTTCAACTTTTGGTACGTGTTGAACTCCTGCTGGACGCCACATCTCCTTCAGGTGTGATTGCATTTCCCTGATTGCTGCGACAAAAAAGCTTTATGAAAAAGTCATCCATTCTTGTTCTCTCCATTCTTCCATTTCTGTTTTCCTTTCTCTTTCATTCACTTTGTGTGTTTGTTTAGTTACTGTTTTTGCTCTTGTTTTATACAGTCAGTATTTGTTTAGATTTGCCGAAGTGTTTGCCCTTTTCTTTGCTCATCTTTCCTTATATCTCAGATCTTTTTGGAATCATTTTCTTTAAGGTCATCCTTTAGAAGTTCAATTCTTTTTTTTTTTTTCCCCAAAGCCCCAGTAGATAGTCGTATGTCATCGCTGCACATCCTTCTAGTTGCTGTATGTGGGACTCAGCCCCAGGATGGACGGAGAAGTGGTGCCTCGGTGCGTGCCCGGGATCCGAACCCGGGCCGCCAGCATCGGAGCGCACGCACTTAACCACCAAGCCACAGGGCCGGCCCAAGAAGTTCAATTCTTGAGTGCCCATTGATAATAAACTTATTATCATTGTTATTGTTTTTTTTTTTTTTTTTTTTTTCCCCCAAAGCCCCAGCAGATAGTTGTATGTAGTAGTTGCACATCCTTCTAGTTGCTGTATGTGGGATGCGGCCTCAGCATGGCGGGAGAAGCAGTGCGTCGGTGAGCGCCCGGGATCCGAACCCGGGCCGCCAGCAGCGGAGCACGCGCACTTAACCGCTAAGCCACGGGGCCGGCCCATTGTTATTGTTTTGAAAGTCTTTATTTTGCTCTTGATCTTGAAAGATATTTTCAGTGGATATAAAATTCTAGTTTGGCAATTTCTCATCATTTTCAAGGTAGTATTCCATTGACTTCTGGCTTCCATGGCTACTGTTGAAAATAACGGTCAGTCTAAATGTTGATTCTTTATAAGTAATCTAAGTTTTTATATCTCCTTTTAAGATTGTCTCTTTGAGTTTGTGGTTCTGAAGATTTACTATGGGGAGACTAGGTGTTGTCTTCTTTCTGTATTTCCAGCTTGGGATTCAGAGAGGTATGTGGATATAAGGATTGGTATCTTTTATCAATTTTAAAATTCTCTTTGAAGATTGTCTTTACCTTGTTTTTCTTCTTCTTTTCCTCTTTCTCCTCCTCCTTTCTTGCTGGAATTTAATCAGCTATATTCTCGACTTTCCATGCTATCCTACATGTCTGTAATCTCTTTTATATTTCACATATCTTAGTCTTTCTGGATTCATTCTGCACAATTTCTTCAGGTCTCCCTATTTCTTTCTTTAGCTTTGTCTAATCTGCTGTTTAACTTGCCCCTTGAATCTTTTTTTTTAACCTCTTTTATTGTGAAATAAAACACATCAAGAAAAGTGTCTGAAACAAAAATAAACAGCTAAATGATTTATCTAAAGAGAACAGCTGTGTAACTAGAAACTACATCAAGAAACAGAAGATTGCTAGTACCCCAGAAGCTCCTCTTGTGCCCTTGCAATCATTGTCTCCTCCCTCCCCTCTAAGGGGTGCCATTTTCCTGATTTCATGATACTTACTTTCTATTTTTCTTCATACTTTTACTACTCAAGCATGCATCCCTAAGTATTGTAATTTAGTTTTGTCTGCTTTTTAAGTTTAATATAAATGAAACCATCGAGTATGTATTCTTTTGTGTCTGGCTGCTTTTGTTCCACATTATGTTTGTGAGATTTACCTGTTGTGTGTGACTGTAATTCATTGCCACATAGTAGTCCCTTGTGTAAATATATCACGATTTATTCATCCATTCTAATATCGATGGACATTTGAGTTGTTCACGGTTTGGGGCTCTAACAAAGAAATGCTGTGGCGAATCTATGCATTCATTATTATTGGGCATATGCGTCTGTGAGTGGAGTCCTGGGTCATAGAATTTATATATATATCTTTAACTTTTTTTTTTTTTTTTAATAATTTTATTTATTTATTTATTTTTCCCCCAAAGCCCCAGTAGATAGTTGTATGCCACAGTTGCGCATCCTTCCAGTTGCTGTATGTGGGACTCAGCCTCAGCATGGCTGGAGAAGCAGTGCGTCGGTGCGCGCCCGGGATCCGAACCCGGGCCGCCAGCAGCGGAGCGCGCGCACTTAACCACTAAGCCACAGGGCCGGCCCTATAATGAAAGTTTTTTTTTTTTTTTAATAATTTTTATTATTATTATTATTT